CTGGTGATGAGGTTACAGAAGCAACTAGAATAGAAAAGTGACAAATTATAGAAATGGAATCAAAAGGAATTTGTAAGCAATTACTTTGGAAAGGTCAACTATAGGGAAGGATCAAGATTTGGGTATTGTTTATTCAGTTGTGAATCAACTTAATTATGTAATTAAGTTTATGTTTTATCAATTAAATTATAGAACATTATATCTATTGTTTTTATAAAATCAAGATACACAAAAATCTATTCCTTGACCTACCAATCTAGCAGTGCTATAAAGAAGGAAATAAGGTTGGTTTGGTTAAGGAGATAGACCTCCCTTTAGTTAATTCATTCTGGCTCCCAGCAATCACAATCTCTTTAATAATCCTCATTAGATTTTTTTACCTAAGGATCAATGTCAATCACACAGGTCTCAACCTTATCTTTACAGTCCTACTGCAATGGCCCATTAGGCATATCAGTGACTCCCCATTCTCAAAGTCTGTGCCAATGAAAGGAACCCTTGAAGAACTGAAAACTTGGAAAACCTCTAAGTATGATTTTTGCAGTGGTCTTTCATCTGTTGTCCAAGTAGCAGGCTAGCTGAGTACAGAGAAGCTCATCACCAACTTGGTGGCCTCTAAGTGATGAATTACGCAGCCATGGTGACCAGTGAAACAAATAAAAATCCAAAATGGACTGAAGTTTTATGCAGCTCCCTTCAGCTTCTGCTATGATGATAGTTATAGGGAGAGATGAATTGAGGTGCTAGGGATCACCTAATTTTTATACTGTCTATAGACATTAATTGCAGTATTAGAAAATTAGTATCAAATTTGTCCAATTAATTAAAATGATACTGGAGGAGTTAAATCACAATCACTACAAGTCAAACCAAAGGATACAGAGAAGTTACAGCAAATGAAATGATGACTCACGGGTTCTACCAGATATGTAAATGAAAGTATTTTAAGAGTTTGTTTCACCATGCTCCTAAAGAATCATTTAATGGGATACCTCATTTTCTCATTGGTAATCATGAAACCACCCCTATTTGGACTATAAAATAACTCAGCACTAAATGTTACATATGAAGAAATTGAGATCATTCACTGAGAATTCCTCTTTTCTCCTCATCTCACATCATTCATGTCTTACACCACTATGTTCTCCTTCACTCAGCTCACATGAAGAAATTATCCTCTTTGCCATGGCAATGCCTTCTTAATCCACAAACGGACCTACTCCATCCCATCTTCTCTAGCAGATTGCCATCTCTATTAACTACACCGTCTCACTAATCCTCGATCTCTCTGTGTCTACTGGCTTCTTTCCTTCTGTCAACAAATATACTCATGTCTCCCCCATCATCAAAAAAAAACTCACTTGATCTGTCCATCCTGGTTATGTATTATCCTACACCTCCCTTCTTTTTAGTACCTAAGCTCCTTGAGAAAACCATCTATAACTGATGACTTCACCAGTGAAATGTCTTCATGATCTCCTCTGCACTACTCAAAAAACTCCAGCAGCATTGTATTATCTCCAAATATTAAATTCCCTGTTTGATTCTTAAAGGCTTTCATAACCCTAACCTTTTCTACTTTGAAATATTTCTGACTCCTTACTAACTTCACTATTACTTTTTTCTCACTCTTTTTAATTCTCTGCAATCTGGCTTCCAACCTCATCATTCAACTGAAGTTGTTCTTTCAAAAATTACCCACAATGCCTCAATTGCCAAATCTAATGGTCTTTTATTAATCCTCATCTTTTTTATTTCTCTACAGCCTTTAATACTGCTGATCATTTTCTCCTTCTTGATACTCCTTCTAGGTTTTTGTGACACTGATTTCTTCTGGTTTTCCTCCTACTTTTTTGTTAACTATTTCTCTGTCTTTTTTGCTAGATCTCCATCCAGGTCACACCCAATAACTTGTGAGTGTCCTGCAAGGTTTTAATCTGGGCCCCCTTCTTTTATCCATCTATCCTATTTTGGTTGTTGATTTCATCAGCACCCATGGATTTAATTATCATCTATATACAGATGATTCTCAGAAACATTTATTCTACCTTAACTGTGCTTCTGACCTCTGGTCCTTCATTTCTAGCTGCCTATTCAACATCTTAAATGGATATCTGGTAGATGTCTTCAACTCATTATGTCTAAAGGTGAACTCATTATCTTTCCCCAAAAATCCCTCATTAATAACTTCCCTATTACTACTTTTTGAGAGCAGCACCAACCTCCCAGTCATCCAGACTTGAAATTTAAGTGTAAACCTCCACTTCCCACTCTCTTTTACCTATCACATCGAACCAGTTGTTAAAGTCCTGTAGATTCTACTTTAATAAAATTTCTGTATATGCCCCCTCTCTCCTCTGACACTGATGCCATCCTGGTCCAAGCCCCTATTACCTTACAGCTGGACAACTGCCAAAGCATGATGACTGGTCTTCCTACCATGCTTCTCTTCCTCCCTCTAGTCCATCATCTACTTAAATGTCAAATTGATCTGCCTAAAAGACAGGTCTGACCATATCACACTTCCCTACCTCCCAATTCAATAAAATCCAGTGGCTCCCTATTACCTCCAAGATCAAATATATAATCCCATTTGATTCTTAAAGACTTTCATAACCTGATCCCTTTCTACCTTTGCAGTCTTCTTAAATCTTACTTCTCTTCCTGTATTCTATAATCTAGTGCCCCTGGTCTCCTTACTGTTCTTCACAAATGACACTCTAATGTGTCATTGCATTGAAATGACATTTTCAATTCTGAACACTTCTTTGATTGTTGCACATTCCCATATTTTATTTCTACTCAGAGAACTAATTATAAAATATTTTAAAATAAATAAAGGAGGGAAATCATAGTATTAATATCTCCAAAGGACAATTGAGATGATATTGATCACTCTTGACCCATATACTTATTTCTTTATCTCTACAAAATATATTGAACATAAAAAATGGTATATTGGATAAAAATATGAGAGGGAAACAGGAAAGTTTTCACTGTTGAATCTCTTCAATGGTGACCACACGATTGGCTAAGAATAATAGAAAATATAAGGCCTCTCTGATTCTCTATTGATTAAAAAAAACAATAACATCAGATTCAGTAAAACAAAGTTCAACTTTAGGGTCTCCTTCAAGAAGATATTTCCCATGCATACCTTAAGATCACACAAAATTCTTTTAGATAACTTTGTTCTACAAATTTTTTATCATTATTCTCAAATGAGACCTAATACATGGAGATATATTCACCAACAGTGTTCATCAAAGTCATAGAAGATATTCTGAGTAAAGTCTAATTAGAAAAGTAATTGCTGTAAACAGTAAGGATCCGAAGTTGCTCTTGCTTTGTTTTTGTTTGTTTGTTTGTTTTTTGTTTTTTGGTGACGCAATTGGGGTTAAGTGACTTGCCCAGAGTCACACAGCCAGTGAATGTTATGTGTCTGATGCCAGATTTGAACTAGGTCCTCTTAACTCCAGGGCCAGTGCTCTATCAACTGTACCACCTAACTGCCCCCTGTTTTCAGGCTATTATTATACTGTTTTAATGCTATTATATTTATTCTAAAATGTTATCATACCAGTTCCATCAAATCCTGAAAGTGCTTGCACTCCTTAATGGAATACACTGATGCTTGAGATTAGCCTAATAGATAAAGCATCATAATGTATATAGCCTTAATCATGAAACTCGAACATATAGTATGTAAATTAGTCCATCAATAAAATGGAAGCAATGGAGAAGGACAATGGCCTAGGCCCAGAATTAAACAAGGTGACAAGGTGGCAGATGGCAAGTATGGAAAGAACACAGCATTTTCAATAATCCCAAACTTTCCCTTGCACCCAAATCCCATTTGGTTATTATTTATATTTTACCATAGGAAAATGGCATAGGGCTGCAAATCATTGAATGTGTTCTCTGAATAATTACAATTATAAGTGATCTACAGGGTATTGCAAATATGCATAGTGAATGTACGTAGCTTCTAGCTTCTTAAGAATAAAGACTTCTCCACATGAAATTACATGGGAGACACCATTTATATCTCTTCTAGCTCTAAATCTATAGTCCTCTGTAAGACAAAGAAAGGGGATGAAAGACTAACACATTGAGAGTCAGAGATTGTGTATGGATAGACTGAATACTACATAGACATCTACTAAATACTCACTAGATGGCCTCTGAATTCCATTCCAGTTTTAGATCTATTATCTTAATTCCTAAAAAAGGGTCACTGGAACTGAAGAGAACTCCATCCTCGAGACCACTTCCTAGACCAGTAGATAATAATGTTCTCCTTCATGCTCCTAAAACCATTTTGTTCTAGGATGAACTTGTCTATATTAGAGATTGATCAGGACAACCTGATCTGCTATATGAAATTACAAGGAGGTGAAACTTTTTTTAGAAGTTGTGATTGTCTCTTTTATGGAGTATGCTTAATGACAACTTTTTTGAATGGATTGGGAAACATATATTGGGACATTGTTATTAACAACTCATTGGGAGAGTAATTAAAATGTAATAGCTGAGGATAACTTGGTTTGTCGTGGTTTAGAGCTACTACTTTCTACGTGGCCTATAAAAGGCAATTTTCATTTTAGAATAAGACATTTTGGGATGTCCTGAGAGAACTAAACAAAAACCAGAAAGAAGTAGACCTAAGAGTGCACCTGCTGTCTTCTTTAGCCTGACGACTGATTGATGAACCAGATCAACAACTTTACTTCAGAATTCTGCCTCATGATTCTACTATAATGGACTCAGAGATTCCTGACCTTGGACTGTAGACCTGGATATAACTTAACCATCTGGTTTCCCTCAAAGATAACTTTGCAGGCTGTTAGAATAGTCTAGTGTACCCAGGAAACAAATGATAACAGATAGTCTTGTGGCTAATACAAGAATACAAGTAGCCTGAGGGACCACGGTTTGGTCCTTACCACTGTATGTTGCACTGCCATTATAAGTTCCCCTAAAACCTTGGTGTTCTGACCATGTGGCATGAAAACATCACTAATGTCACTGAATTCATCCTTGTGGGCTTTCCGACTACAATCTGGCTGCAGATCCTGCTCTTCATTCTTTTTCTTGGAACCTATCTATTTGTATTGATGGAGAATCTGGTCATTATCCTCACTGTGTGGACCAATGGCTCCCTCCATAAGCCTATGTACTACTTTCTAGGTAGCATGTCCTTCCTGGAGATATGGTACATTTCTGTCACAGTCCCCAAAATGTTGACCGGCTTTCTTCTTCACCCTAATACCATCTTGTTCTTGAGCTGCATGACTCAACTGTACTTCTTCCTTTCACTTGCCTGCACAGAGTGTGTACTCCTGGCCGCCATGGCATATGATCGTTATGTTGCAATCTGTCAACCACTCCACTACCCAATCATCATGACCATAGAGCTCTGTATCCAGCTGACTGCCACCTCCTGGGTATGTGGCTTTTCCATTGGTATAGTCAAGGTCTATTACATATCACATGTCCTCTTCTGTGGTAACAATGTGTTAAACCACTTTTTTTGTGATGTTTCTCCCATCCTGAAGTTGGCCTGCAAGAACATTTCCATGGCCGAGATGGTGGACTTTGCCTTAGCCATTGTGATCCTTGTATTCCCTTTCTCAGCCACTGTTCTTTCCTATGGTTTCATTATCTCCACTGTCCTAAACATCCCCTCAGCTGCTGGACAGAGGAAAGCCTTCTCTACCTGTGCTTCACACCTGACCGTGGTAATAATATTTTACATGGCTGTAATCTTCATGTATGTTCGGCCTCGGGCTATTGCCTCCTTCAATTTCAACAAGCTGATCTCAGCTGTATATGCAGTCTTCACACCAATGTTGAATCCTATTATCTACTGCCTGAGGAACCAAGAAGTCAAAGATGCCATCAGAAAGACCCTAAGCAGTGGCTAGGCCCTATTCTTGAGAGATTCCCCCTTTTGAAAAGCCTCTCTCATTTCTATTCAGGGACCCAGAAACCATTTCCAAGAGAGGCAAGTACTAAATAAAAAAGTACTGAGAGCCCATAAATGCCAGCTTAATTTTATCATACAAAGTAAATTCTCATAAATAGAGGAGAAAGGGAGAGAGACAGAGAGAGAGAGAGACAAAGACCGAGAGAGAGATAGGGGGAGGGAGCAGTGACAGATAGAGATAAGGGGAAGGAGAGAGAGAAATTGACACCAAGCAACAAAATTATTTGTAATAACTGAAAAAAGAGGGGCTAAATTTAACTCCTTTTTGTATGACAAATGTGGGTCTGATTCCCAAACAAAGGATAATGCAGAGAAATAGATTTGTGGACAAATTTCTCAAGAAAAAAATTTAAAAGTTCTTAGAAATAATTTTCCAGAAATACATTTTTAAACATTCACTATGAATAAGATGAATTTGAATAAAGCATGTAAGAATGTTTAAGCATGTAAGAAATGATGAGCTCAATGATCTTTGAAAAAACATGAGTAGACTTGCACAAAATAATGAAGAATGAAATGAGTAAAACCAAGAGAATGTTATATATAGTAATAGTAATATTGTTTTAAGAATAACTTTAAGCAACTAAGTCATTTGGATATCATAAATACTCAAATTAACTACAAAGGACCCATGAAGGAAGAAGCTGTCTACACTCAGAGAAAGAACTAATAAATAGAAGTATGTATAAAATTATTTTACATATATACATATGTGTGTGTGTGTATATATACATATACACACATATACATACATATTTGTGTCTAATGGTAGCCATCTAGGGGGGAGGAAAAAAGGGAAAAAAAGAAAGTTACATGATAATTTTATTATATATTTACAAGAAATAGCAAGTTGCACATAATAGATTTGCAGTTTCATGTGCAATCACCTTTTTTTTCTATTCTACTATGTTATAAAAATACTTGTTTTATTTCTTAAGTTCAGAATAAAATAAATTTTTAAAAGAATGATTAAGCATTGGGAATTAATACAATCATATTTTAAAAAGCTAACCAAAACCATAAGATTATTTTAAAGAAATGTAAGCAAAATCTTCAAAAATACTATTGCCTTTATAATAAAATCTTTTTTAAAAAGTACAGATATGAAAAGCCCATTTAAAAATGTGATCAAAAGTATATCTTAGAAACCAAGCTCACATTTTCAATGAAGAAACACAGAAAAGTGTTTGAATAAGTAAAAAAGAGTATTCTTAGAAGAAATAAAAGAAGACAAATGAAGAGATAGTTATAGTTCCTTGTTGGGCTATGCCAGCATGGAAAAAGTTGCAATGCTGTCTAAATTAACCTATATATTAACTATTATACTTAGATAACTGGTAGAGATAATTTATGGAATTTCATATAATAATAATATTCTTTGTAAAGAAAAAATTCTTAAATCTCAAGAGAAATAGTAAAAAACAATAGGAATAAAGATGGGGAATGGTATCATTTCTAGTTCTTAAACAATATTGAAAGGCAAATATCCACAAAACTCTTTGGTGCTATTTAAAATTAGAAAAGTAAAGCAGTGGAACATATTATATAAGCAAGGCACAAAAACAATCAAGCCCCATGTTTATGAAACCTGAGGATACAAATTAGGGAAGGGAAGGTGAGGGAAGGGAAGAGAACAGAAGTTGTGTTGCCCAACTGGCCAGTTCCAGTTGAGTCCCCAGGGAAGCAGCTTCTACTACTATTCACAGAGATTGTTATTTGGCCTTTGTTCTTGAAGAAGACCATGGCGTTAGGGAGTGAAGCTATGACATGCAAGTGAATTGGATTTAAGTGAGGGAGGGCTGTGCAAAGTCATCAGCCTCATCTTCTCTGGAACCATCTGGGTCCAGTGGCAAGATGTAGATTAGGATGATGGGTAATGAGGGCCTAAATTGGGATGACAACAGCATGAGTGGGGAGAAGAAGCATTGCTGGTTGATGCTCTTTGACAACAAATTATAAAGTGACACTCATAGAAGACTCAAAATCGAAGGTGACCCAAATGGTAATAGAAAGGTATGTGGTGGGTGCAAGCAGGCTGTTACATACTACTGCCAGCCATGACTTCTACAATCAGGCTACAAAAATCAATCAACCACTGCTTGGCAGTGATCCCAGGAACTGTGTTCAGCTTTAGGAAAAAAGATTAAACTGAAATGTTCCCTGTACTCAAGAAAGCTACAATTCTATATCTACTTTTCTAGCCTATTTCACTTTAGTCCCTTTTCAGCACTCTATATATCAGCCAAAATTAGACTATTAGTTTCACAGAATTAAGGAAGTTAGGAAAAGGAAGTGCTTAAAGAGAAAAAAGATGAGTTGTGTTTTGAACATGTTGAGTTTGAGATGCCAAGGGACATATAATTAGAAATTTCTTGATACCACTTGATTCAATAATCTTAAGGTATATTTACTAGAAGAAAATCTATCAGCTTTTTTATACATGGTTTCATATTGTCAAGTACCCATGTTTTTGTGCTCCATTCCTATGCCATAGACATTGGCCATGCTATAGCCATTTGTGGTGTAACCATATGGAGGCTTACACTGACGATGTGTAGACTGGAAAATGGGAAGGTAGCCCTTAAAACCTGAACATTTCTTCTCTTCCCTAAAACAAAGAACAAAATCCCCAACAAATCAGACTGGCTACTTGAATTCCCTTAATCTTCTTTGAAAAGAAAGCTAAAATTTAGCAATTTCATGGGGATTGAAAAGAATGCGGGAGAGTAAAAATAAGGGTGGGACAAATCATTTCCTATTTCAAAAATTGGTATGTTGATTTAAAGTTTGTAAAAAAGAATACATATGTAGAGGGCATATGTTTAAATAACATAAGTGGTCAGAGAGCATATATGATAGCTATGTGTATAGGAAACACATGTGACCAGGGAATATGAATGAAAGAAAATGTATTTAGGAACAGCTAGGTTGCACAGTAGATAGAGTACTGGCCCTGGAGTCAGGACGACCTGAATTCAAGTTCAGTCTCAGAGACTTACTAGCTAGATGACATTGGACAAGTCACTTAACGTCTATTTACCTCAGTTTCCTCATCTGTAAAATGGTAGTAATAATAATAATACATATCTCCTGTGGTTTGTGTAAGGATCAAAAGAAATATTTGCAAAGAGCTTAGTACAGTGCCTGGCACATAGTAGACATGATATAAATGCTATTGATAATAAATAGGAAAATATAATAATAATTTTAATAATAATAATTACATGTAGAGACCTTATGTAGCCAGAATGAAAGAGTCATAGGGTCACCTCACACCTCCAGAGCTGCAGAACTGCTACTACCCTCTGGAATGGTCATCTGGCAAGCTGTTTTCTCCCCTGAGCAATGGCCATGAGCTTCTTTTTTCTTTGCTTATACTCCGTAGGGCAGCTCTCCTCTCTGTTGAACATCTTCACTGAGTTGCTCTCTGCTAAGAGTTTTCCCTACTGCTCTCTAATAAACTCTAAATGCTTATCTGAGTTATAGTCAAAAGTTCCTATTGAATGCATTAATATCCTTGAGTCTCCAGCCTCAGTTCCCTTTGAATCATTGCAGAAACTCCATTTACCAAAACTACAGATTCAAAGCTGGAGGGGAGAATGTGTCTTTCAATTCCTTATTCAATCCCGTATTGCCCATGATTACCATGCAAATCCACTCAGGAATAGTACTGAAAAAAGCTCAGGTAAAGCTAATGAGACTGGCAAGGTTTGGACTCCTTTCTACCAGCAACCAAAGTCACTATTGCTGAAATTATTGCACACAATACTTTCACCCTTCTCCAATATTTGAACCCAAGTCCAAGAGTATACAGAGCTGAATGGACCACAGGCTATTCAGATCTCTCTCTTCCTTCAAGACATAACTCAAGCAGCACCTTCTATGTGAATTTCTTCCTGGCCTTCCCTCTCTAATTACATTTTGATTACATTAGTTATTTTTATTTATTTGTATATTTTCTCTATATGTTTTGATATGTACTTATCTCCCCGCTAGAATGTATGGAATTCTTTCATTTATTGAATCTGTATCTTTAGCACCCAACTCAATGACCAGTACATAGTAGGCACTTAAATACTTGTGAGGATGATGAAAGACCAGGGTGAAAGGCCTAACAAGAGTGCTTAAGTCTGTCTCAGAGATGCTCAGCCACCAACCAGGGAAGTAGTCAGGACTACTTGGCCAGGAAATATCCCATGGGATCCTCTAAACCCATGGACTCTAGATAAGTAGATTCATGATGATGTCATCTCTGCTGAGGAAATAAGCTTAGCCACAGATCCAGGCTGGGGAGGGGACATGAAATGAATAGTGGAGCCAATTGCCCCAAGAATAGGCAGCTGTCCTTTTTAATCTCAGAGGACAATGAGGACTGAGTATTGAATGTTCCCCTGTGGGCTTCTCCATTACTTCTTCTCCTTCCCCTCTCTTTGGTCTTTCTCCTGAACCTTGGCAGTTTCTAAGCTCCTAGCCTCAAGAACCTCTGTTTGATTCCTTTTGCCTGACAGTAACTTCTGCTATAGAGAAAATTGGAGGAGAAATGTTTTTTATTTTCCTTCCTCATAGACAACATCAGGAGAAAGGTAACACCATGATATCCTAGCATCCTTCCTGGGGGAAGGGAGATGCCTAGGGTCCAGAACTTCATGTCCAAATTCACTGTACTCACCAGAGAAGAAAATCATTACTGTAAAGAAGGCTGAGCTTCAGACCATCTGGCCCTTAAAGTCCCACCCTAGGTTCATCATTGGTGGAAAAGAACATTTTCCTTAAAAGTTTCTGTCTGGTCAGCTCAGGCTTTCAACTAACCACAAAGCAGTCAGTGTGGTTGGCGGCTGGTCTTCTGTCCCCATTGGAGGTAAGTAATGCTCACAGAGCTAACTCTATTCTGGCAAACCGTATAGAACTTAACCTGGATGTGTGTTAGGGGATTACGGT